CACACTTGAAGGACAAGTGACAGAATGGCCGTGTCGTGTCCTTACTTAGACATGAAATCAGAGGAAGGGGGGCCACCCCGGTGCACCTGAGGTGCTCTTCTGTCCACAGTGCCTTCGACCTCAGGCTCTGCCTCACTTAACCAAGATCTACGCAGGCTTGGTACTTGAAAAACCAGAGGTGGGAAATGCAAAACAGCATGACACAAACAAACAAACAAAAATGCTTTGATGGTCTTTTCCCATCATGGAAGTCGTCCAGCATTGATTTTCCACATTTCTTTTCTGCTTGGGTGTCTAACCACATGCAAACTCACAACGCTTCAGAGCTGACTGACTGAGCCTGTACCAACCCCGCTCACCCTCGACTCCAGCCTCAGAGCTCCCAGGCCAGTGGACTTCTATTTGATCTCATGATGCCTCCACCCATCTTGAGGGCTTTCCACAGCATGAATTTTTTAGTGAAAGCTGATCTAAATTTCCAGGTGAATTTTCAAAAGCATTCTCGGATCCATTGAGGAAGTTGCAAAGCAGGGGTTACACATCTCTGATGTGATATTGCTCTGTGAGTCAAGCATTGCACACACAAACACACACACACACAGACACGCACCACCCATCCATCCATTCCTGAGAACTTGTGTTCAGAATGACACAGCGACAGGTGGGTCTCCCTCTGCCCCACTCCATGTCTGACTAGTTGCCTGTCTGGACCCGTGGTCAGGGCCTACAGAACACAACCAAATCGATTTCAAAACAGGCTCAAAAAAAAAAAATTAGGAAGACTAGATTAATGTGCATGAGAACTCCCAATAAGAATGATTTTTGTGTTGTCCACTCCTCTGGTCTCTCCGTGCGGACACACACCCACTCCTATCTAGAGAGGTTGGTGTGGCGTGGTTTGAGCACACACACGGGTGCAGGTCCTACTACAAGCCAATGGCAGGGTCAGCCGGAATTCTGCTTCTCCAACATCCACCAGGGGCTCCACCCCTTAGGTGTGAACAGTTTAACCTAGCAAAACACCCAGGAAAGACGCAATCACAAAGTGAAAGGAGCAATCACACCTCAAGTGGAAGTTTATGATGTTTTGGTTCACAATGAATGTTACTCTCTCCCTCTAATGTCAGGCAGTAATTCACTGCTGAACAGCAGCCATAAAATATGATCATTTAGTGATAGGAATGCAAGAGGCAGAGAAAGAGGTGGGGCGGGTCCTGGCTGAAATATTTAAGCCAAGAGATCTCGTCCTTCTGAAGCTGCTCTGACCTTGTTACCCCAACTTGGGTCAAAGGTTTTCAGACTTATACAGACACCCCAAAGCAAATCAGGATGGTGTTTGCCTTATGATTTTTACCTGTAGTTGAAATGTTAACAGTCTCTGGGTTATTTCTCAGTTCCTAGGCACCTCCAGATGACTGTAGCATTTATTTGCCACAATTCAGAATAGCACGTGCCTTTAATGCTTGCCATGGAAAAAGCTGCCAATACCAGCCATAACACACACACGTCAGAAAACATAAAAGCCATCCAAATTGGCACTTTCCTCACCTCCTTTCCCCCTGCTTCATGCGATGTGCGCACTAAAGGAGTGAAATCATGGTCATCAGGGGCAAGGTTGCAAATGATGGGGACCCACACTTTTCTAACAAAATGAAACTTCAGTAATTTTGAGGACAGCCTATGGATAGCTACAGTCTAGCTGCTGAACCCCTGAAACGCACAGCAAACTCCCTTACTCTCAGCAAACCCCAAGCGCCCTCCCACCGTCCCTCCCCACCTCGAGTCCCTTGTCATATTGCAAAGAACTCTGCAAGGCCCTTGATACACACAGGAGATTATTACAGGGCTCAGAGAAGTCAACTCTGTAATTATGGCTACAGTATGATTTCCATTATTCTCACCCTCTGGTTTCAGTAGCCCACAAAACTTCCCGCAAAATCTTCTTGTAGTCCCAAAGCTTTTCATGGCTGGGCCTCTGCCCAAAAGGTGAATATGGTCCTGATAACCTCTGGGAAAGTCAGGACAGAGTTATTACAAGGAAAGGGGAGCGGTGCCTAGCCAGCAAGGGTGGTGGGAAATTCTATTGTTTAGAAAAAATAAATAAACCGGCCAGTTTTGCTTTTTATTATTTGAAACAACAGACCCCGCAGCCCAGCCTTCCTTTCCCAACTCAGACTGTCCCCTGGGCCAGCGGTGCTGAGTCTGCAGGAGCGGTAGCTGGGCTCCAGCAAAACTATTAAAAGGCTGCCCCTCTAAGCTCATGGAGCAGTAAGTTTGGCTGCCCCCACGGCCTGGCTTTCCCCAGGAGGACTGCTGGCTCATTCCCCCAACATGACCTTCTGCTCTTACCTCTCAAATGTTTACGCTCCACCAGTCCCACCACTGCTGTGAAATTAAATGTAAGGTCCCAGATGGCTGAAACAGAATCGCTCTTATCTAAACCCCCCAAAGTGAAAGATGGGAAATGCCAGCCCCTGGTTAAGCCCCAAGCCTCCTGGTCATGTGTTGCCTGTCACTCCTGCCTGGCTGACCTCTGGGGACACTTCAAGGCAAGGCTGTGCCCACAGCCTACCCCGTGAGGGTTGTCGCTGTGCACTTTGCCCGTCCAGGCTTCTGGAAGTGTCCTTGTCCCCTTCTTATGGAGATGTGTTGCCCTCTGACCTCCCCACCAGGGGACAGGCATCCACAGGGAGAGAGAGCCAGCCTCCAGCGGCCTCAGTTCACCCTCTGACCGACAGCACACATTTGCAAGTCGACTGTGTTAGGTTTATGATGCAGCCATGGCCAGGAAACAGGTCTTCTTTTCCCAAGAGAAAATAACTGTTCTGTGACATGCACTGAACTCTCAATGTTTATTTCACTGACACCATATTCCAACCAGCTCAGATGAAAAAAAATCCTTCTACAGGGTCTACTCGGTCTTGCCAGCAAGTCAATGATCCTCTGGCCCCTGGTAGGAAATTCGGTGGGGAGACTCTTTTGGTGCATTGGAATAAGTTACTTCTCCATTGCACGGAGAGTGGGCTTACTAGAGAAAAGTACCCCAAATCGCCTTGCTCACTTGTTAACTCTCAAGAGTGCTCATTCACCCATCAGGCCAGGCAAAGCAGGTAAACAAACATTTCGTTGTACAAACATGTAAGGGAATGCCTTTGGTACTTAGAATTCACTTCTGCAGCAAATCATGAATCGTGGTGAAGAATGACGTCATCTGAGCAACCAATAGAAAGGTCCTCAAGGTCCCTGCTCTAAAGGTCGCACACATCCCTCCTCCGCTTATACTGAGGCTTATCAGACAAAAGTTCAGCAAGTTTGGATATCTGACTTCCTAGCTCACCGGAAGCTGGAAGCCGCAGACTAAGGGAGGAAGAGAGGCATTAAAGTCAACCAGGATTCTGACAGCAACGGGAAACGATGAGCGACAGTGTGCGCTGGAGGCAAAGCCTGGAAGGCTGAAGAATCAGACACAGGAGTTGTGTGGGGACAACACAACTATGCCTCGCAGCATCTTTTCTGGGTACCCACGAAATTCAGTTCAACACATGAGTGAATATCACAATAAGAAGGCCAAGGCAGCAAGGAAAGTTTCAATTGTGTTGAATATATTCTTCACAGAAAGGCAGGGAACTATGAAATCTAATTCTTAACACCATAGGGACAATGGTTCAATTACTTGTAAATTTGCCACTTAAGGCAGCACATGACCATTAGGTGATTACCTCTTGGGGTGACACTAGATGCATGGTGCATTGACCACGTCATCTTTGCGGGGTGCCATGTGTTTCCCCAAAATGTTTCCTCTTCCACATAACACCCCTATAACTACTCCACACGCGTCCCTGACCACGCACACTCTGCTCCCGCCTCTCACCCTCCACACTCTCACACCCCAGCCCCACTGCCTCTTCCACAGAGATGGACAATTTAAAGAAACAATTGCTGAAGTGGGCTGTGACATAGTAGGATGGGAAAATAGGCACAGTCTTCTAGATTTGCAGACAATATTTCCCTTTGACCATCTCGAGCTGCTGCCTACAAATACAGCAAAGAGAACAGTAGGGATCAACACTCAGTCTGAGATCAGGCAGACCCTATTTACCAATCTGAATCACAAGATTTCCCGAGAATTCCAAGGAAAGCCTAAATAAAACACGCAGGATCTCCACGCGGAGTCACCAGTATTTCCCTGGGAAAAGTCTGAAGTGCGATTATCAGCCAACAGAAAACAGAACCTACCACCTACAGTCTTAGAAAGGCTTTTAATCCAAGCAAGGAGGGCACCCAGGGGGCCAGCTCCAACTCACTGAGAGGGGAAGCTCGAGCAGAGGTGGGCGAGAGAATAATCCTGTACGGACAGGTGCCCCCAGCACTGCTGAAACGCCAAGGTCACCCAGGGCCCCTGAAGCCAGTAACCTTCTGGAGAACAATGAGGAAACTCATGTCCCCAGATCACACTGTTCTACTCCACCTTAAGCAATTTCTGTGCTCCCACAACATGCATGGTTTCCTTGTTCCCACGATTTGGCTCTCAGCCCCAGTAGCAACTCTAGCAGGTTCTACTCTTTCCTCCATCTGTTTCCCCGAGTGGATTCCAGATGGATGCACCAGACAGAAGGGCTGAAGCAAGAGGAACAGGCACATCCCTTGCCCTTGCCTGCCTTCCCCAACCACCCAGGCCTAATAAGGCTCTTGCCTTAGGGTACAAGCCCAAGGTAGACAAAGCATGCCATTTAGGATGGCTTAGCAAGGCTGGGGTAACACTCTATGTGCACACTAGCCCTATGTGCACACTCACCCAGTGTGATTCCCCAACAACCCTCCATACAAAGGCAGAGGAGGGACAAGGTTACCCCTTATGACCTCAACAGTATCATATCTCCATCGCTCAAACCTGTATCACTCGCCCACCAGGCCCAAGGTAGTAAAAAAGCAGGAGATATCCATCCCAGCGGGGACAGACTGCCTTCACAACAACCAAAATGACTGCATCTCATTCCTACCTTCTTCAGCTTGCCGCTTTTTGTGCCCACGAAGGCCAGAGAGTGATTCTTGTAGACGTATGCAATAACAGAAGTCATGCGGTCCCTGTCCTCCGTGAAAACAGGAATGCCACGCACCATCTCCGACACGCCCAGGGGCGCATTCATATCCAGGCCACAGAAGTTATCATCAATGGTTAAGAGCTGAAAATTTAAAAAGGAGAAAAATTAGGGGGGAGCATCAGGGCAGTTGGCAGAGACATTGAGTCAGGGAACTATAGAGCTAGAAGAATCCTGAGAAATGGGTCATCTGGTATAAATCCCTCCTTTTTTACATGAAAAACTCAGCTCTAGAGAAACTAGGTGACCTGTCAACAGTCAACCTAAGTATATTGCAGGATCATGGCAAAAAAATCACAGGCCCCTAGAGTCTTTTTTCTCCCTACTCCGTGATCTTTTTGCCCTTCACCAACCACCCCAGGTGCCAACCTGGTAGCTTAGATTGACTATCATCACCATCACATCGGAAAGCACTCGCCAGAACCCCCGAGAATGGGCTCCAGATGGCTCTGCTTGGGCATAGGAGGGATGTGGTCTCCACATCTCTACTTACTGTTGAGCAGACACACAGATGAGAACTTAAGAGTGTAGAATAGAGATCTAGAAACATTAATACACAAATGACAATACCATGACCGAGGAATGTACAGAGAATACGTTGGAGAAAGGAGGAATGGGAGAAGTGGAAGCTTCATGAACGAACTCAACAGGCCACAGTGGTGCCTCACTATGCCCCATCTCAGGCTTCCTGTTTCTTTTAGAGCATGGCAAAGAGGCACAGCCTTATCATGCCTAACAGCATTTCCCAAAGTGTCTTCTTTGGAACCCAAGTCCCCCAAGATGCTACCATAAAAGGGTTCCTTGGGCAAATAATTTTGGGAAATACAGTACCTCCTAACACAATGCAAGAGATTCATAATGATCAGTTACAGGAAAAGCCTGAAAAGTCTTTTTTTTTAATTCTTTTTTATTTTGCTGGGAAAGATTGGCCCTAAGCTAACATCAGTTGCCAATCTTCCTCTTTTTTTTCTCCTTCCTGAAGCCCGATACATATTTGTATATTCTAGTTGTAAGTCCTTCTAGTTCTTCCGTGTGAGCCACCACCACAGCAGGGCTACTGACAGACGACTGGTGTGGTTCTGCACCCAGGAACCAGACCCAGGCCACAGAAGCAGAGTGCACTGAACTTTAACAGCTGGGCCATCAGGGCCGGCTCTGAAAAGTCTTTTAAGAAGAAATATATTTAACATTCTCTCAGCCTTTCCCAACATTTTATTCCCTAAACTATTTTTGATCAGACACCTATTAGCATTCCTTAAACAGAGTATTCCCTGGATATCCGGTGAGACACACTGACCCAACTTTTGCTCCTGACTCTGGGACAACTTCAGGAGTCAAGGAAAAGCCTTCAGCCCACATTCCCCAGTGTTTCAGCTGAATCTCTGCCTGTTTTACTCCAGGCCCCCATATCCCCACGTAAGCAGAGGGTCACAGCTGGGTTCTGTCCTACAGGGGAGTGGTGAAGACCTTGACAATGGCTGGGGAGGAGCCACCGAGCAGCTTTGGTTGGGCACAGACCTCTCCGAGGCTCTAGGAACCTACACTGGATTTTCCTGTCTTTCTCACAAGAACTGTGTGGCCTTAGAAGAGTTATTCCATCTTCTCATGCTTTTATTTTCCACTCCATAAAGATGAAGGAAAACCCTTGCTTTTTGATGGGTTTCCATAAAGCCTATAGAGCTCATGCCTGTAAGCGTCTCTGGACTTTTCAGAAAAAGGAGTGAAATAAAATACAAGGTATCACTTTTTTAAAGGCGTCAATCCAGCCAAAGAAAAAGGCATCTGGAGAACCACAGGCAGGCTCTTGCCAGCGGAATCGCATGAAAGTGGCCAAGGTGGAGCTTTCCAGGGCCTCGGGGGGGCCCTCGGCTCCCTCCCAGAAGGTGGGCGGGGGTAGGAACAGGCATTGTCCAGCTCAGGGAAGGCGATGTGGTAAGCATCTAAAACCTCTGTCTGCCCTCTGCCTTCCTTCTTCTCATGACGGGGCAGCAGTCAGGGCTGGGAGGGGAGAGCATGGGCAGGCCCAGGCAGGCCACGTGCAGAACAGATGTCTGCTCCGTGCCTTTGATCACCTCTGGTCTCTCTTGCATGGTGTGGTCCAACAGCCCAGACCAAACACAACCCCTTCTTCCTCCAAAAAAAAAGCACAACTAGAGGAGTCAAAGTTAGGAGGGAGCTTTCAAGGTCTAGTCTGATCTTCATGATTACTTCCGAAAATGAGGAAATGGAGGAGGAGACAGGTAGTGGAGGGTGAAAGGAATGGACAGAAAGAGGAAGAAACATCCACATAGAGGGAAGAGGATCCCTTCTCCCTGCCAGACATGACCGCAGTGACCTGCCGGGCATTCCGAGGGCAGCCTAGGGCGTGCTGGGAATCCTCACGGTCTTGCACATTCCTGCCTTCTGTTCATAAGGAGTCCTCATCCCTGACTTCCTTGGCCCTAAACTGTGCTGCAGGGACCTCCGCCATCTGCCAATGTACTTTGCCCATTCTGACCCATTTTCCAAGTAGATGAGGCTGAATGATTGCCTGCTCTGCACAAGGGGAAATGGAGGCAGGGAGCAAGGCAGTGCCCGTTTCACAGTCTCCCACCACTCCTGGCACAAACATGTCTCCGTGACCTGGGGAGCCTTCGGCCACTCAGCCTAAGAACCGCACTTCTGAGTGGTCGGTTACTGAATGCCATTCTTCCCTTTGGCTGGGCAGAACCCAGGCAAATCAACAAACACCACCTACAAAAAGAGTGTGTCTTCAGCCAATGGCAGCGCTAAAGCATCACTTGCTCGGTGGAGGAAGTCAGGGACCCGTGACTCCCTGCCACGGCGGCACCTTGCACAGCAAGGGGCTGGGCGAGGAGTGTTTTCATGGAAGGAGGTGAGGACAGCCCAGCCCGGCAGCGAGGGCTCTGCAGGTCTGCAGCTCAGGGCAGCTCCCTGTGAGGTGCAGCAGGAGGCAGGTCTTGGGCTCCTCCCCTGTACCTGACAGTCATCTCTCACATTGTCTCCCTCTTCATGTCATCCTCAGGCTCAAATGAGGCAAAGCCTGCAGCTGGGGCTCCTAAGTGCCACTGGGATTCCAGGGACAATGATGGCTTTTTCCTAGGCTCTCCCATGCCTCAGTTCCTCCCTCTGAATGGGGCACCTGGTGATGAAGGGTGATAGAGGCCTCTGACAGGTGCAGCCCAGGTCTGCAAGGAGGCTGAGGCCCCAGCTGTGGCGTGAGACAACCTTACTCTGTTTCCTCAAAGCTGGGGCAATGGGGGAGGGATTCTGAACACTGAAGTAGTGGAATAAACACAGGACTCAGGTTAACATGGCAGCTCTGCTGCTTCCCAGCTACCCTACATGGCCCAGGCTCCTCCTGTTCTCTGAGTCTCACTTTCCTTGACTGTCAAATAGCAAGACAGGGCCGTCACGAGAACTAGGTGAGATAACAGGTGTGAAGGCACCGGGTAACTGGAAAGCACTTCATCGATGTAAGGTGATATTTCACAGTAATTTTGTTAATGGAAATCCTACCTGGAACAGGGGTAGGATGGCTGCACGGGGTGGCCCCAGCATGCCTCCTGACCAGAGCATGGCTCTCCAAGGTCACTGCCCTGCTGGGTCTGAGCTGCGGCCACAGGGTAATTACAGCACCGGGGGAAGGAGGAGGCAGAGGGTCCCACAGGGCCCGCAGACCCTGGGAGGCCAAGGTATAGGAAGGAGATGACAGGGCTGGCCGTGTGGGCCCTAGAGGGGAAGGCTAATTGGTGAAAGCCTTCGACAGGTGAGGTTTGTCCTGGATTCCTGAGCACCCTGGGCGAGGGGGAGAGTGTCCGCTCTTGCCCTGGCCAAGCCCTCCCCTGAACCCCATTAACAGCAAGATTACAGCAACTGCCAAGGAGCCAGGAGCAGACTGGACTCCATCGTAACCATGAGCCCAGCACGCTTCTCCCTCCACCACTCCACAAATATGCTGAAATGAGCTGTGGCCACCGTGATAACGCGTATTTATCAGAGAGCCACTGCCTTCTTATAGAGGAAAGATAGAAGGGTCTGCTGCATGGCAAGGCACATGCTGCCTACTTGGGCAACCTTGTGAACAGCCCTTGAAGCCTCAGATGGGGCCATGCCCTCTGGGGTCCCTTCTGCCCCAATTAGGAAGATACCAAATCTGCTTTCCACAAATGTCCACATGGGATGCACGATCTATAAATTAAGACTGGTGATCCATGGATTCCAGGAACCATGGGCTCAAGCATGGCATCATGTTTTACGCATCTTTGTACCCTTGGCTTAGTTGCTGGTTCATAGTAGGTTAAGACATATGTGTTAAAGGATGGATGGATGGACGGACAGATGGATAGATGACTAAATAAAAGCCTGAGTTCCACAGTGGCTAACGCTGTAGAACCAGAGCCAGAATGCCTAGGTTTGAATCCCAGTCCTGCCACTTAATGCTGTGTGAACTTGAATAAGTTATTTAATGTCTCTGTGCCTCAGTTTATCATTGGTAGAATGGGGATAATAACAGCATGTACTTCACAGTGCTGTAGCGAAGTTTAAATGATTTAATATATGTAGAACACTATCTGGCACTTGGTAAGTGCTATGGGAGTATTAACTCTTATTGTTTGTCACGGTTAGACAATTCAGACAACTTTTGTGAGTCTCGGCGTCTTTGGGGAAATTCACGGTATCTACCTCAGAGAGGTGTTATCAAGATTAAAGGGACTAATGTTACCAACATGAAATAGCAAAGGTGCAACTTCCTAAAGGTCTCTCAGGCCAATGAGGCTGAAGGAAGGAGCAGAGGAATGGTCTAAGATGTAGAAGATTTAGTGCTATTCATTAGAAATGCAAATTCTCGGGCTCCACTCAAGACCTAATGAATCAGAAACTCTGGGGATGGAGCTGAGACCTGCATCTTAACACCCTTCCAGGTGGTTCTGCTGCATATTAAGGTTTGGGAAGCACTGGCCTAGATCCCCCTTGGAGGTCCCACCCTTGCTGAGGGTGTCATAGACCATGCCAAGGAGAGAATGTCATGTGACAAGGAGAACCACTCTGGACCTGGATGCAGAGAGGCCCCATGGCAGCCT